TGACGGCCACTCTTTGTTGTTGGTGCTGGAAGGGAATCTGACCTGATAGGAGGTGCAAAGGGTAATGAAATGACTCATCGTGCTGTACAGATACGGTTTTCTATCGGAATAGTTTCGTAATTGCTTAATTGAGCTCTGGCTCTGCTGGCAGCTGCTACTATTACTAACGCCCCTATTTCTCAGGTCTGAGGGGTTTTAGCAATAACTTCATGATTTTTACAGAATTCCAACTTGTTTTTTAACGAGTCAAATTCGTGATATGTGCAGAGTTTAAAAAATATTTTTCCAATACTTTTTTTCAAGACGGGCTTGCTTATGGGTTTCATGCAGTGTGTGGAACAAATCTGTAGATATTCTTGGTTTTCTTCAGGCATGATCACGGCGTACGGGTGCGCAGACAGAAGAGTCTCCGCCAGAAAATAGACGAAGCTTTTGATAAATGGGACGATTACAAGCAAGCTTTTGGTATGTTTAATTCACAATTCCTTAATTTCAGTACTGCCACCAGCCGTACATACAGGCTGTAACAAGGACAAGTGCCTTTGAGTTGTGTAGCCATCTGTCATTAGCCATTGTTAGCGTGCTGCACCCCTTTTTTCAAGGAGATCATGCTTGGCCAAGAATTGCTTTGAAATTGCAGTTCTGCTCATATCATAGCAGTCAGCAGTATCATAGCTAGTTAACTGCATTGGAGTATTGAATAACAGTGAATTTATTGGTCAAATCAAGTCCATAAATAAGTCGATTCAATTTTGAGTTCAAAGGTTCTTCCTTTTTTATTGCAGGGAAGTCATACGATGCGGATGAAGAAAATGACTTCATGGAGGCATTTGTAAAGAATGTGATTCACATCGAGGAACACAATAAGGAGCATCGTTTGGGTAGAAAGACCTTTGAGATGGGATTGAATGAAATTGCTGATCTGGTGAGCTTTTAGTTTTCTCAGACAAACTTGAGTCGTTTTAACAAGTCTGTTTAGCCCTTCTCGCAATATCGAAAACTTAACGGGTATCGTCATCGTCGTCAATATGGTGACTCTATGCGATCAAATGGTACCAAGTTTTTGGCACCATTCAATGTTCAGGTGCGTTAACCCTTCAGAAAGGAACTATGTGGAGTGTAATCAGATTACATT